TTTCCCCAAATCACCATCGAAGCCTACATGATACTGCTGTTTGAAATAGCTCGCCGTTTAGTCGCATCGAAAGAGCCAAGCGAATTAAAAGTCCAGTATGACATGCTTCCCATTGGAATCGCTATCGTATGGATTGTGAAGCTGCTCGAGTATGGCGAAGAAGAAATATGCGCATTCAGGGACGTTTTTTCCCCTGGCAGAAAATTTCATTGTTTCTCAGGTTCTCCCCAGGTCAGGAAAGAATCGATTGTCAACATAAATAAATCTCCCTTCGTTAACGCAGAGGGAGAAAAAGAGAAACTTATTGAGAAGGCCACCAAGGAACTTCAAGACACATTCCGCCGCTCCTTGAAAAGACAATGTCGTGGTGGAAGTAGGAAAAACTGTCTAGCCCGACGTAGGAACACCGCGTGCGTCAGGCGATCTCCACGAAAACTGACTGAGACGGTTTCTCGCGTACGGTGTTCAGGTCAAGATTAGAACAAAAAACTCCCGTTACTGATTGTTTAGTTTGTTGCGTTTGCGTTTTTTTTCTATGGCGAAATCTATGTTTAGAATGGGTAGCTGTGTTCGTTTTTGTTGACATAGCATTTCCTTCCTTCGCACTTAGTGCGGCGAAGGATCCCCTTGGTCAGTGCTCTAGAGTTTCGTTGCTGTACAATGATTCCCTCAGCAAACCACAAGCTAACTTTTGACGAAAGAATCAGCTGTATCTCGAGGCACAACGATTTTGTGCCGAGAAGTCATTGGGCAGTTTTACTGCAAGTCACTCCTTTCCTCAAAGATTGCGAAGGCGGAGGCTGTCGTCGTCGAGCCGGTCAAACGGAAAACGAGCGAGTTTACCTGCCTCAAGTTAACCTCAAATAGAGATTTTTATGGAGAAAATTTATTTGCCATGTGACCCATTTCGCTTAATGGCAAATAACTGAACGCCCCATGTAAGGTAATTCAGGACAGTATTAGATTCTGGATTCCACGCTGTGGATTCCGGGTTACAGGTGCTGGATTCCAGATTCTACTGGTGCAGATTCCGGATTCCAAAACACAAAGATTCCAGATTTTGGAATTCAAAGTTCATGGAGTTCATGGAGAACTGTCAACAGAACAGCGCAAAAATATTTCCCTATCGTCTCGAGTTACTTTTTAAACTTTCCTTTTAAACAAAAACCACAGTATTGACGAAAAATTTACACTGAAATGTAATTTTAATAACATCCAGTGTATCTCGCAAATAAATCGCAGATTATGACTAAGGAAAGCTTGTTTTCCTATATGTAATTGGCAATGATGTTCTACATTATGAGATTGCACATAAAACGGTGTTCAACTAACTCAACTATACGTAAACTTTTGCAAAATCGCGAATGATCTTCATTTACACGGTAATTTTCCAAGAATAACAGATTCTCTCTTCTATACTTCCCTTTTTCTTTATAAGGTTACCTAAGTCAAGTCACATTATGTCGGCTGTGAATTCTCCCGAGCAATAATTCCAAAGGTATAAAGTGGCCCGCTGATATTTTCCTGTTTGACCCTTAAATCTGGTAATATCGTATTTTATTTGCACTGAGATATGATGCTTTATGAAATCTTAAATTTTGTTATTCCGAATGCCAATATCAAAGAAAGCGGTTTATGTTTAAATGCCGAAATTTTGAAACTTTTTTGTTTGCTTTTTTTTAAACTGTGATCTACATATGATTAAGGTGTGCACACCTTTTTCTTACTCTTTTGGCAACATTGGAACTGATTCCAATTTTTGGACATGTCATGACAAAATTTTACGTGGTTCTTTCGAGATCACGTTATCTGGCAAACAAAATCGTGGGGTCAAGTTTCTCGAGCTTGTGCAGATTAGCCCCACACGGCAAGATCAAATTTGTGCAGACCGTGACGCTGATTTAGAGGTAAGGAATGTGCTGTGTGATTAAAGCAAATGACAACCAGGATTCTCACAAGACAGCCCAAAGAACTTTACAGTAAAGAAATTGCTGCAAGCTAAAATCGAACTTTACAAGGGAGGTTTTTGAATCGGAGTAGAAGACTCATTGGTAATGACTGAGTAGGGAAATTTGGCCGTGTCAGTATCGAAGTCGATTGGGTGATAGGTCATTAATGAATTTGTCAGTGTCTCGCAAGCTGTAACAGTCGAAATTCTCCAGAGAACAAAGCGCGGTTTACATGGTCTGCACGGTCTACGTGGTCTGCAGTCTGCGTTTTAGCATGACTGTGGTTGCATGGATGCGCGTGAAAGCCGTTTATGCGATCTGAAATGGGTTTTCAGCAAATGGATTCTGGATTTATTCTTTGGCGGGGATCTGGATTCCAAAAGCTTGATTCTGGATTCCAATGCTCAGTATTCTGGATTTCACAAGCAAAAATTTTCTGGATTCCGGAATCCGGATTACCTTACATGGGGCGAAACTGACATCAGTATTGTAAATTAATATTTCGTATTCATCGACTTTCACACAGCGCATGGTTCGCTACCATCTAATTAAATAATTTTTTTTGTTTCTTTATTTATCTCGTTGGAGTGCTGTTATTACATTGACGTTGCTATTGTTGCTACTTTTATTTTCTTGAGGGCAGGGGGGAATTGATGGCTCGTGGGAATTATTTTCTGAAACTCAGGTTAGAAGAATACACTGCCCATCCGAGCTTGTGTTTGTGCCAGTATCCGCCAGAGGTTTCGT